CAAGTCAAAAGAAAGAAAGATGTAAAAGAAAAGGTTTCTCTTTCCTTTTGAAGCTTTTTGATACCAATTAAATAGGACAGTCCTGATGTAACAATTTATATGAGGGAAAATAGGTATTCGTGCTTGAGATGATTATCGAAGAAAGATGTTCGGTGAGTATTTACATCAGAAAAAGTGCATGTCCCAGGAAGCTCCATGAATAGGAAAAAGGAACCCTTAGGCATGAAGGGCACCTGGAAACCAACTTTTGTAAGCACCTGAGTCAAGTAATCTCTTTTTGATTCATAGTCCTGAGCACAAAAGATGTGAAAATAGATTAACTCATAAGTCGAAAAAAGATACCAGTAGATCTACTAATTGCAAGGAAATTTACTTGTCTCAATGCATCGAAGTATTCAGGGGAACTTCTCAAAGCTGTCAAGGCAGCTTCCTGGAAAGGTGCTGGAGCAGAATCTGTAATTTTAACATGGATGTTCCTTATTGCAGATGCGAAGCAAGCTGGGCCAATTGCCCAGCCAATCCTCCAACCTGAGAAAGCATGAAGTTACAACAACAACAACAAACCCAGTAAGAGAAAGCATGAATTTAAATGAGAATTTAATATATCAACCTACTTCGGAGAGGTAGAAACGACTTAAACATGCTGGCACTGGAAGCAAGATATCAAATGTTTACCAGTCACACTAAAACTTTTTGACAAGGAAGATGTGATGATGGTACGCTTCTGCATTCCTGGAAATGTGGCAATTGATGTATGTCTCTCCCCGTCGAACGTTATATGCTCATATACCTACAGAAAAATATAAAGTGAGTTCCAAGCTGGATATGTCTGGTTCCAGATTCAGGTATACTTTTAATGTATAAATACTTCACAATCTTATCTTACACGCAAAGGGCATCAGCCAAGGGATAGTATGCCTACCTAAAAGCAAAGCAAAAGCAAGGTTGAAAAAACACGCCTATTAAGGCAAAAAGCGTTAAAAAAACATTGTTCAGGAACATCTTAGCTCCTATTTTATCCATGCATGATCATGAAGTTCTGAAAGCTTCTATAGATACTTCACCAAAAGTTTTTCAGGTTTTAAAGAGTTAGCACTGCAAATTGCATCTCTCTTTTTTACACGGTGGAGTAGTAAATATAAAATGCATTCTTCTGATTAGCTTGAACAAGGGGCCGAATATACATATGTCGTTGCTTTTTTTTTTTCTCTATTTGAAAAGCACAAGAAGATGTGATAAAGTGCAGCAAATTAAACCTCGTCTGTTACAGCTAGAATATCCAAGGTTCGGCAAGCTCCAGCAATAATCTCAAGCTCATCATTAGAGAAAACCTTTCCAGTTGGATTGTGAGGGCTGCACCACTTTGTATCAGAACATTCAATTCCAATGCCAAAATTGATTATCAGTTTAAAACATTCTTCATATAGCATGTTGTACATTATGTGCAGGTACAAAACTGAACCTTCTCAATTATTGGTTTGACAAAAAAGAAGGAAAAGCTTATGTTTCCTGCAACAGAACATCAGTTAATGAAAATCTAAACATCTTTTGCACAACAGTACAGTGATATCTGAACGATCAAGTGTGTCAACCTGGGGTGCATTGCAACAAAACTGTCCCACTGGTGTCTATAGTTCCATTTGTATATTTAGTTACCTGCATTGCTTTGTCTCCGATTAATCTTATGTCAAGACTGATTGCAGCAACAGAATAATTTCACATCATAGATCATAGTATACATTCTGAGGTGACACTTATAAAAGTAAAAGAAAGCATTCCTTTTTAGCCAAAACCGATGTTTAATACTTAAGTCAATGAAGTCATTAGCTTTCGTGTGGACATGTAATCTCTAAAGGCTTTCTCTACATTGTTCTCAAAGCTTAAGACCGGAGGACTAACAACTTCCTGGACTTGGCCAGAATGTAGAAAAAAGGGCACAGGTCCACAAGAATTAGTTGCAGAAGTTTACGGAGTTCCGCTTAACTTGGTAGCATACTTCACTCTGTATGTCAACCCATTCAAGAATTGTCTCATGTTGAATTGGAAACTATTTTGTTTTACCTGTTGAGGACTATAGCTTTTGTCCTGCCAGTAAATGACTTTGCGAGTTTATCTGGATCCAGACTCCAATGAGGGGGGTCAAGGGCTACATACACCTGTCCATTTTCCCACAGGAGAAATAGAACTTATCAATCTAGATGTGACAAAACCTGCATGGTATGACTAGTCGTTTAAGTATAAAACGTAGTTATGAAAGGCTTACTGGGACTCCACCAGCCAACCTAATGCATGTTTCATATGTTTCATAGGAGGGATCGAATAAGATGACTTCATCACCCTGATTAATTACTGAACAAAGAAAACATAAACATGATTTCTGCATATATTTCTCATAAGACCGGAATCGCAGGAGTTAATTATTGACTTTTGTAAAGAAAAATCATACTTGCAAACATTGCCGCAGCAAAAGCCTCAGATTGGCCACAACATACGACAATATCAGTCAGAGGATCGACATCTAGACCATGCATTTGTTTGACTTGATTAGCCACATAATCACATATTCCCTGAACATGCCTGCAATACAGTGAATTAACATGTACCACCACTTTATTCCCTCTGCGGAGAAATGAAATGTAAACAAACATAGGATAAAGGAGAAGTGTAAAAAGGAGATACTAGGAGTTATACTTATTAATTAGTTAGTAGGGGAAAGAATAGAAACGAATAGAAATAAAGGAACAAACCTGTACTGATTGAAGTCAGAGCGGATAGCGGAAATGGCGGCGTCTTTGAGGTAGGACGGAGCAGGGAAATCAGGGAAACCTTCAGCAAGGTTGACGGCATTACATCTTTCGGCGAGATACGAGAGTTGTTGTATGGGTGACGATGTTAGCCTTTTCGCTACTGAAGAGAGCTTCTGCTCCATCTCCATGGATACGGAAGCGGAAGCCTTATCCACAAAAGGAGATTTACTAACTTGCCACAACTGTTTGAAATTGACATTCTACAATTAAGATTATTTATAGCACCTCGATTTTTAGTGATGTGGCAGTTGGATACATCCTTTTCTTTCCTTTTGCTGCCGAATTCGAACCTCTTGTGCCGGCTTGGTACGGCAAAGTAACTAGTCGACAACAGTAATACTCAACACCCAATTAAATTAGCAATAACTAAAGAAGATAAAACTTGTAACATATATAGATATATACCTGAACTGAAGACGGTTGAACTCTACTCTCTGCAGTAACTATGGCCGTAGCAGCAGCATTTACTGTATCTACTGTATTCTGTACGCTACTCTTGCTGATCCTTCACCGAAAAAAAAACTACAAAAAAGTTCTGTTCGCCGGCAAAGAATGATAAATTTTCCGGTAATTGAACGGCCGGAATTTAACAAGGAAAATCGCGAGACATTCCAAGAAGAACAAAAACACATACATCGAGAAATGACAGATTTATTATCTATCTACGTGCGAAATATGTTCGCCTTTTACACCATTTAAAAATAAAGCTTACATGAAATAAAATTGTTGTTTTACTTATCTTCCTAAGATTTTAATTACTTGAACTTTCCATATTTCTATTTGTTTAAAATTTTATTTTGTTAAAATAAATCACAATAACACTACATACTAAGTTTTTAAGTATTGAAGTGTTATTCTTACCAATTAAAAGTATTTCGTCAACTTTTATATTCATTAAATTAGATTTTATGCTAGACAAAATAGTTATTCAGTTACTTTTCTAGCAAATAAGACTTTTTAATCACATAAAATTTTATTTACTAAATCTTTATTTATTAGAATTAGTTCTTAACACGTGCGTTGCACACGTGGATCTCGATTCATTTAATATAAAATTTTAAATAACCATGTAATATTATTAAGTAAAAATATTTTTAAATATTACAAAATAAAAATTAAATAATAAGTTATAGGTCCATGCAAATAATGAATATGATCATTGGTTGGTAATTTGTAATTTAAGCTCAAATAATTACATAGAAAAAAAATATGGAGAAATTCTCACTGAAGTAAAGGTTGCATATTGTGTAATGTAGGATTGGCACACAAATGCTATTCGCATATCATATTTTTGATTTCTTAGTTTTCGGTTTTATGAAGACTTCTATTCTTAAATTTTCAATATTTCTTTTTATTTAATATTTGGAAAATTCGAAGCCAATATTTTTCATTAGTAAGATCATTGAAAAATTATATTGGCCATTCAGAGACAATCACATGGGTTGGAGAGTATGAGCACGTGATTTTTGCCCTATATGTATTACTCCAACAAATTCAAAACAAAATAATTTCTTTCAGTGTTTGCAATTTTGTTGGATTTCGTGGCATTTTCTGTTAATTATTTGCATTTGTCTGTGCACGTTTATTTCATTTAATTCATGAAAAATACAAAAATATGTTGCATCTACATTTAGGATTTAATTTTACATTTTTTAGATTAATTAGCAAATTAGTTTGTTTTATAAAAAATAAAAATCACAAAAATAATTCATTTTGCATTTTTACTTTTTAATCTTGAATTGTGTAATTGTTCTTTAAAATTAGGAATTTAATTAATTATTGTAAGTACCGTGATGAGTGATTAATTTATTTGGGTAGGTTAATTTAGTTTGAAAAAATTATTATTAATTAATTTAGGATTTATTTTTATTTTGGGAAAAGAAAAGAATTGTGAATTGAAAAAGGAAAAAGAAAGAATGAAAGAAATCTGGGCTCAAACCCGATTTTATTGCCCCGGCCCAAGTAATAACCACCCAATACCCGGCCCAACCCACGCCTGACCCGGTCTGGATTCCCCCCCACCCCAAAACGAAACGACACTGTTTCATTAAGATTAATCTGGGCCATTGATATTGCCTAATCCAACGGATCAAAACTGGGGGGGNCCAGAATTTCCCTACCGTCCGGTGGCGGCGCCACCTCCGATCACTACCAAATTAACACCATGAACTCCCTTCCACCTCCCCATCCCAAATCTCCAAACAATTCCGCTCAAATCCCCCTCCATCGCCTCGAATCTCAGATCTAAGGTCAGCACCTAAAACCCTAAAAAATCCCAAATCCACCCAGAATCACACCATGCAATCCCTCATCTCCTTCCTGCCTCAAATATGTGCTTGTTTCATTTCAAACTGGTCCGTCAGTGGTAGAGCAGAGGTCTGGATAGCCCTAAGTCTCTCCCTGGGTTCCTTTCTGGCTCAGCAAGGTTGAGTGAACCCAAAACCGTCATTAATCGTTTGTCTTTTGTTAAGGACAATCGATTAATGACCGTCAAAGGTTCACTTTCTTCTTCAAGGTTTGTTCGAGTTCATGCAGTTCTTGCCGAAACAGGTTTGGGATAATTTCCTTTGCGTCGATTGGTTTCCTTTTGATCTTTTCTGTTTGTTTGCTTGGTTGTTTGTTTTCCAGTTTCATCCTTCAGAAGTTTCGTTTCTTTCTTAATTACATTATGTTCTGGTTGTAAGTTCATTAGTTAGCTTGTTTGCTTAATTGTTAATGACAATCGGCTTCGTAAGGTTNCTCCGATCACTACCAAATTAACACCATGAACTCCCTTCCACCTCCCCATCCCAAATCTCCAAACAATTCCTCTCAAATCCCCCTCCATCGCTTCGAATCTCAGATCTAAGGTCAACAACTAAAACCCTAAAAATTCCCAAATCCACCCAGAATCACACCATGCAATCCCTCATCTCCGTCCTGCCTCAAATATGTGCTTGTTTCATTTCAAACTGGTCCGTCAGTGGTAGAGCAGAGGTCCGGATAGCCCTAAGTCTCTCCCTGGGTTCCTTTCTGGCTCAGCAAGGTTGAGTGAACCCAAAACCGTCATTAATCGTTTGTCTTTTGTTAAGGACAATCGATTAATGACCGTCAAAGGTTCACTTTCTTCTTCAAGGTTTGTTCGAGTTCATGCAGTTCTTGCCGAAGCAGGTTTGGGATAATTTCCTTTGCGTCGATTGGTTTCCTTTTGATCTTTTCTGTTTGTTTGCTTGGTTGTTTGTTTTTCCAGTTTCATCCTTCAGAAGTTTCGTTTCTTTCTTAATTGCATTATGTTCTGGTTGTAAGTTCATTAGTTAGCTTGTTTGCTTAATTGTTAATGACAATCAGCTTCGTAAGGTTTGAGTTTAATTTGGTTTCAATTCGTGAGATTTTCTTCTTTCCGCTAGGTTTCATTTTACGTTTGTGAATTAATTTTGGAACTGAAGCATTGAGATTAGTCAAGTATAGTTCATCGTTTGCATTAATTCTTGTTTCAAGAGCATTTTCTGAATTCATATTTATGTGTGAAGGATATTTAGGCTAGTTCTTCATAATTTCAATAGTTGTTTTGAATTTCAATCTGGTTGAAAGTGTCAGCTCGTTTGTTTACTGTTGTTGTGATTGTGAGCATTCAGAATTTAGGGGGGATAAGTGAATAATTGGGAACTTTAGGGGGTAATTTTGGAGATTGGTTTAACTTGAAGAATCTTTTAATAACTGATGGGGAAGCTTCCTAAATGGATAACTGCCCAAAATTGTTAGGGAAAACAGGCTGTAAATTGAAAATATCTGAAGGAAATGGACAGCTGTCCAAAAATCAGTTTTAAAAGATGCCATGTGAGGGTATTTTGGAAAAAATCAGACTGCCTTGCCTTGGAAGGCACACAACAGACCCCCAGCCTTATAAAGGAAGCCTTCTTCTCATTCAACAGACAGTTTTTACACCTTAGAGAGACTGGAAAGAAAAATAAAATATACTGAGTTGGAGAAGTAATTGATTTTCTTCTGAAATGTCCTAGAAATGTTAGAATTGTTTGAATTAGTTTTGGTTTCTTGGTTTTAACTCTCTGAATCCTTGTTACTCTGGAACTTTTCCTGAAAATAATTCCCAAATTGTGCATCTGCCTGGAAACCTGGCTTTAATCTGGGTTTAGAAGCTTGGTTTGAACTGCTGGAAGCTGATTTTTGGAAGTTTGGGGCTGGATTCAATTGTGCAAGCACTGTTACATTGCTGCTGATATTGCCCTGTTGTTGCTGATCCCTCATTTTTCCTACTTTCTTTGTTTTCCAGGTATATTTTGGGAACCATAGACAACATGTGAATGTGAATCTACACTTTGGATATGAAACACTTGAGATGCAAGTTGTATTTCAAGTTTACTTCTACTATTTCATCTAGTGCTGTATTATTAAGTCTGTAATCATATATTATGCATGTTTAGTATAGCCCTTTCTCACGTTGCTGAATATCGTAAAGTGAATTTATGTCTACTTGTCGGTTTGATTCTGGGGAGTATGAGTGTGAGGTTTGGATTCAAGTAAATTAAAGTTCATATCATATAGTTTCGAGGTGCTGAAATGGTTATTTGGACAATGTATGTTGTGGGATAACTGTAATAGATTGTCAACTACACCATAATCAATGGTGTAATAGTATGTCTTTTCACCTGCGGAATTGTTCAGTTTGTGATTGATTGTTGAACTTACATAGGCTAGTTTGTTCTAGTTATGCAATCCCATAGTATCTTGTTAGCATGAGGTTTTGGTGCCTTCAATTGAGAACTTCAAATTCAGCTTAGTGTTCTGTTTAACTGCAACAGGCTGTTTAAATCGATAGTTTTTGATATTTTTGTCTTAATGCCATAATTTCCCTTGTCGTCAATTTGAGGTTGGCATGGGCATGCAGCAGGCAGCACATCAAGATGGGCTTCTTGGGCCGTTAGGCTGCATTGCCATCTCTCTGGCACATTCCTGGGCCAATGCTCGTTGTTCAAATAAAGAGGTCATACGAGTCTAAGGCAGACTCAGGCCCAAATCATGTTAGGGATTTAAAATTCAATTCTAGTTAACTTATTTAAATAATCAGTGATTCACAAAAAATGAAATGTTAGCTTAATTACAAGTCACATGTACCTTCAGTTGATGAATATCTAGTGGTTTATTGACTCATGAACTTTGGGCTTTAAGCCAGGCCCAAGCAAGATCTTTAAACAGTCAACCCTTTCTTTTTTTAAAAAAAATAAGATATTTTCAGCTAGCTTGGCCATAGTACAATCATAACTTTCTTAGTGTTTTAGATAATTAAGTTCTTTAACTGATGGAAGTAAGCCGTACTAGATAACACAAATGGCTTATGGTCCTCCAAAGTCTAGTTCGAATTCCGTTTTTAAAATTGGAATTGAGGGGTTGTGCCAAATAAAATCTTCAAATGCATGGGTCTCGCTTAGTTAATATTTTAATTCTTAGAATTCGAGGCGTGCCATTTAGCGAATTTTTCATGGCCCTCGCAAAGTTAACAACACGTTAGTTACTTCAGGCGCGTCATTTTTGATAATATTACCTTCTTAAACTCGGGTGCGCATTTCATGTGACCCAAATCCAAATCCTAAAATGTTGAATAAAATGTGTTCCGGATGGCGGGTGCCTTTCATGTGGCGCGATCCAAAGACATGTTTTAAACGAC